CCAGAATTTTAGCATTTTTTTAAACCCATAAGTTCACATATAGAAGAGATTATAGTAACATACTTCATAGGGTGCTGGGAGGATTAAAGGAGGGAACATACAGGAAAAAGCAGCAAACCTAGCATATTGAGCTGTGTAAGTTATGAGTTATGCTTGCACTTCCCCCTTTCCCTCTTTCCCTTTCCCACTGTGAGGCTCACAAAAAGATGGTTATTAAATAGAGTTATGAATGTCGTTAGTAGATATTCTGGTGCAGGATGGTGCTTAAAAGCATTAGTGATTGACTGATAGCTGGATTAGTCCTGATGTGACTACTGATTAGTTGTGTGACTATGTAATGTTTCATCATATGTAAAATTGGGGGAATAATAATAGTAAAACTCAGCCTGTAGGGTGGAAGGAAGTTTAAATGAGATAATATATATATATATATATATATATATATATATATATATATATATAGTATATTTCTGGTATCTAAGAATATCAGTTGCTCCCATTATAATTTAGTGAAGTTGCAATATCCTCACTTCTATATTCTATTGTCACTTTCCTCTGAAATGACAATAAAGACCAAGGCAAACTGAGCAAGGTAGTGCATGCCTATAATCCCAGTGATTTGGGAAGCTGAGGCATGATGATCATAAATTAAAGATCACCTTCAGCAACTTGGGGAGATCCTCAGCAACTTAATGAGACCCAATTTCAAAATAAAAAATAAGGCATCCTGGTGCAGTGGCCCATGGCTTTAATCCCTGCAAATTGGGAGGCTGAGGCAGGAGGATTGCAAGTTCAAGACCAGACCAGCAATTTAGTGAGGTCCTAAGCAACTTAATGAGACCCTTGTCTAAAAACAATAATAAAAAATAAAAAAAGGATCAGATGCCGTGGCGCACACCTGTAATCCCAGTGGCTCAGGAAGCTGAGACAGGAGCATCACGAGTTCAAAGCCAGCCTCAGCAATGGCGAGGCTTAAGCAATTCAGTGAGACCCTGTCTCTAAATAAACTACAAAATAGGGCTGGGGATGTGGCTCAGTGGTTGAGTGCCCCTGAGTTCCATCCCCAGTACCCAGAAAATAAAAGAATAGGGGCTGGGATTGTGGCTCAGTGGCAGAGTGCTTACCTCCCACATGTGAGGCACTAGGTTTGATCCACAGCATCACATTAAAAAGTAAATAAATAAAGATATTGCATCCAGTATAACTAAAAAACATCTTTAGGGCTGGGGATGTGGCTCAAGCGGTAGCGCGCTCGCCTGGCATGCGTGCGGCCCGGGTTCGATCCTCAGCACCACATACAAACAAAGATGTTGTGTCCGCCGAAAACTAAAAAATAAATATTAAAAATTCTCTCTCTCTAAAAAAAAAAAAAAAAATCTTTAAATAAGTAAATAAAATAAAATAAAAAAGGGCTGTGGATATGGTTAAGTGGTTAAGTGCCCCTGGATTTAATCCAAATTATCAAAACAAAACAGACCAACCCAAATCTCCAGATTATCTTTTCTTTCTTTATTTCCTTTTGTAGTTTTGGGGGTTGAACCCAGGGTCTCACATATGCTAGGTAAACACCTTACCATGGAGCTACCTCCCCAGCCCTGAATCTCCAGATTTGATTACAGCTATTCATTGTTCTTTCAGTGTTTTTTGTTTTTGTTTTTGTTTTTAAAAGCAGGTATTCCTAAGTGTCTTCTACATGTTTAATATTCTACTGAGTTTTTGTAAAATATATATAGTAAGTGTAAAACAGGGCTCTTGCCCTCAAAGTGGTCATGAATTTAAAACTGAAGTTCCTTAGTAAACAAGGAACATCCGCTCATTTTTTTTTTCCCCTATCAAGCTGCAGAATTACTTTAGAAGCTTGTCTGGGCCTCACCTATAAAACTGGAGCCATAGCTGAATGCAATACACACATCTATAATCCCATTGATGTGAGAGGCTGAGGCAGAAGGCTCACAAATGTGAGGCCAGCCTCAGCAACTTAGCAAAGCATTCAGAAACTTGGTGAGACCATGTCTCAAAAAAAAAAAAAAAAAAAAGAAAAAGAAAAAGAAAAAGGACTGGGGATATAGTGCAGTGGTAAAGCACTCCTGGGTTCAATCCCCAATACAAAATCAAAAACTAGACCCATTAGATCATTCTCCCTTGGTGTTAATGCTGGGCTGGTTCTTGGCTGGGAGTTGCTTTCACTTCCTCTTGAGATCAGGAAAGAATGAGGCTAAAGGCTGGCTGAGAGCAGCTGTGCTACCAAAAGCCTAACGTTTGCTTTCATAGTAATGCAGATATTCTGTTGTTCTGAACACAGCAATTAATGGATATTTAGTGGATTTAGTGGGTCGATGAAACCCCAAATAGAATGGAAACTCTCTTAAGGAGCCTCAGGATGCCTTGCATAAAAGTTGAAACTACCTTGTTTTGGGGGTAAATTCCTAGGGAATAAATCTCGGATGTTTCCAAAACATTTGCCTACTCTTCAGCCCAGTAAGCTTTCTCTGACCCACAGAATCCATTTTCTGTTTGTGCATAAACTTGTTCCAGCTGGCCCAAACTGAAATTCCAGCTGGACATAAAAGGCCACTTCAGCTGTCAAGAGCAGAAGCCATGTGTGGATTTTGGTTTAAGAATCAGTCCTGGCAGCAGATGCTCTGAGTGCTTGGGGAGTGGCACGCCTGTTCCTAAGACAGAAGCCAAGCACCTTTTGTCATAATTCCACACTGAAATCAGGGACAGGCAATTCTGATTTTTTTTCTTTTAAAGGGTTTATATTAAATCATGAAAACAAAAATAACTTATAATGTAAAAAAGGTGAGATTTCTCTGAGAGTCTTCTCTTTTACTGATGAAGAGATTCCTTAGCAAAGAAATCTGCTCACTAAATGTGTTAGAATACAGTTTTAAATGTAAGATTATGATGTAATTATTGGGTTAAGTACAATTCAAAACACCATGTCTGCACCACTTCTTTCTGAAGGTGATCTTTTAAATTCATTTTAATGCGGAGGGGCATGTTTCTGAGACTTCTCCCTGGAAACCCAAATTAAACACCTAAAAGGCTGGGGGTGTAGCTCAGTGCTTGCAAAATCCTGGGTTCCATCCCTAGCACCAGAGGGGGAAAATATATGGTATGTTAGAATCCTAAATATAGTTAGACCTTGCATTTCAGTCAGTGTTCAGGGCTCCAAAAATATGCTGTCAAATCAGTATTAGCAATTAATTTACACCTCCCCCCAAAACAGTCCCTGCGGCCACCTCCTGCAAGAGGTGAAAGCAGCTGGTGTTTGTGAGACTTGAGAGAGAGCCCATTTTCCAAGGAAGAACAAAGACAAAGCAAGTACCCCTCCCCCCGCATAGAAGCCGCTTGGCTTTGTGTGGTGAACTGGTGCTGCTCCCTCTGTGGACTGCATGGGGGAGGCTACGAGTTATGCTCCTGAGATTAGTTTAGTAACCTTTGGTTCAGCAATCCAGAGGGGTGTGGGGAGGTGTGTGCCTGCACCGTGTTAATGTCATCTGCTGCGTGTTCACATATTCTCTCCCTGAAGGACACTTGTGCAATACAGTAACAGGGAGGCATTCCACTCCTTTACTTTTGTTTCTCTGCAAATAAATAAATGTCCTGGATTGGTCCCCCTGATTCACTAAAAGTTACTATATATCCACTGCTCTTTTTTTGTTCTCCAAACCTGAGCTCTCTGTGTTCATCTGGTTGGATCCAGATTGTGAGGGCTACGTCCAAGTGGTCACTTAGACTTGAGAACACAATTCTCCTTCTCTTCCAGTTGGGTTCCTAATTTTGGTGGTTTTGGTGCCACTGGAAGAAAGACGGGGCCCTGCTTTGAACCACAGTTATGGTCTGGTGGGAGATGGAAATCTTCATGTCAAATAGGGACCTGGTAAATAGCATGACTTCTAGCCACAGTGTTCAGCGATGAATTTGTCCATCTGTGGGTCTTTACGCTTTTATAGGAAAAAAATGAAGATGTGAGATTCTTAAAGCTATAAATTGCTCCAAGTGGAAGGGAAGAAAGTTATTACTGAATCATTTGGACAATGTGAAGGACAGGGCTCTGTAGGAGAAAGCAATACAAAGAGGGAAGCTGCACTTTGGCATCATCTTAGGGGTTACAGTTCCTGGCAACCAGGCAGCTCAAGAGCAGAAGCGCAACTCATCATCTTTCAGTGGGCTTCCGCCATAGGGGGAGAAAGGTGGTACCACAATTCTCTCCCAGTGGATGGCGATGACGTGTTCTAAGCAGATGAGTGCAGAGACTCCTGTCAAATGAGCGAAGAGAAAAAGGAAGTGGAGAGAGGAGGAGGGACTCCAGAAATGGCACTGCAACAATCCTGGAATAAAAATGAGGTGCAGAATTGATAAGCACATCCACCTTGAAATTTAACCCCCTGTGCATTTCCCAACTTTTCCTCAGGACCTCTTTTAGTATTTTGTAAATACTATTAAGGCAGTCTAGAATAAATAAAAGCGGACCCCTATCAGATTCCATTTTTCTTTTACATATATATGTGTACACACACACGTTGTAGATGGACACAATATCTTTATTTTTATTTATTTATTTTTTATGTGGTGCTGAGGATCGAACCCAGGGCCTCTGGAGTACAAGGCGAGCTCTCTACCACTGAACTACATCCCCAGCTTCAGATTCTATTTTTCATTCTTCTTTAGGATTGTTTAAAATAATAACATTGTCCTAAAAATAAAACCCATCCTTTGTAGCTTTGAGGAGCATTAAAAACCGTTAAAGCGCTCTGAAATATTGCCTGCCAAAACCATAGTGGGCCTCTAGCTTTTTCCTCCCCACAAAAAGGCGGCTCTGGCTGTGCCCTCTCAGCTCTGCTGGTGAGGGGGTGTAACACCCAACATCCCGACTGCTGGGCGATACTGCTAAAGTGCGAAGTCCACGCCCTACCCGAAGCCGCCCGGCGCCTCTGGCGATCTCTGAGCTCTTTGTCCCTTTTCACCAGCAGGCGGCGCTGTCTTGGGGGAAGCCTCAGCCACCGCCCCACCAGCCACAAAGGCCCTTTCCGCAGTAGTTTCGCGAGCTTGTTCTAGCCACGCCTTGCTGGTCTGTTTAGAAACTATCTTTCTTCATCCAGCTTGGTAACTTTGCAGAATGTTGCCCATGTGACAATTAATGATATTTGAAAAGTTAGCAAAGAGTTTTTGGAAGAGTGCAACATAAAAACCACAACAAAACATGTATTTAAGATTGCGTAATCAGTGATTAAAAAAGACTTAAAATGCAATGCGACTAATACAATTAAACAGGGCCCCAGAAACGATAAGCAAGACAATATATGTTGAAAATTAGAATGCTTAAAAAAATTTTGTTTTTTCCAGACTCTTCTGCGGGCGTAGAGAACAATTCGCGAAAATTCAGCTGCAGCGTCATCTGCTGGACATGCCGCGACACTGCAGGTCCCTGCGGCGAAGAAGATGGGGTTGCAGTTGAAAGCCAGGCTTTTTGCCCAGGAAAGGCTCTGGCAGCAAGGTAGTATTCACATGCATTCTGCTTTATTTAAAAAGAGAGTATATGACCCTTACTACAAAATGGCCTTGTCTGGGTATTGAGGAGCCCTCAGCCTACATGAACCGCCATTTATTCTATTGGTGGTCTTTTAGGAAAGCCTGGGGCTTTGGGAGGCCAAGAAACACAATTCATTTCTCTACACCCACCTGTCCCTCAGGCACAAGGCTGAAAACTATGTATTCTATGTTTGCACACAGGGGAGTGTGTGCCAAGGACAGAAGTCATGTTGTACTTATTGTATTGAATGGAACTAATTTTGCAAAATGGAAGGAATTTCAAAGGTGAAGAGGGTGACAGAAATAAAATTAATCTGGGAGTTGGGAGGTGTTGAAATGTGACCTCGGCGGTGTTTGATATAAGATCACTAAGCCAAGCTACCATTTTCAAACTTTTAAGTCAGTTCTAATTTACTTGAAGATTTTTCTATTTAGGATACTGCAGACCCTTTTCTACACAAAGGTCTAAACCCATTTGCGAACACATTTATATACATACTTCCAACATAAGCCTGCATTCAACATTGTTGCAATTTTTTTAAAGATCATAATCAGAAAATTCTTAGAAATAGTAGAAAGCAGAATTTTTGATTAGATTAGAGTTGGCCCACCCATCTGGGAAAATATGGTATCACTGACAGAAGCATTTGTAATAGAAACATATTATCAAATGATTCTGCTCCTATAGAGTTTAATAGTTACTTTCTAACAAAACTGAGTTTTTTGTGTGTTGGAATGAATTTGTATTGGTTTTCCTAAGAGATGAAGTGAATTTGTCAACAACGTAGACAACTGGATCCTCACTGGTTGTATAGTCCTTGGGGTTCATGTCATTTGACTTCCATATAAAGGCAGTGTTTATATATATATATATATATACATACATATATATATATATATATATATATATATATATTTTTTTTTTTTTTTCTAGGTGTAGATGGACACAACACAATGCCTTTATTTTAATGTGGTGCTGAGGTTTGAACCCGGGTCCCACGCGTGCTAGGCAAGCGCTCTACCGCTGAGCCACAATCCCAGCCCAAAGGCAGTGTTTTATAAGGTACATAGACAATACCTTTGGTACTTCAATAACTAAGCCCTTTTTGGATGATAACTGTCTGATTCTATTTCCATAGGGATCACAGATAAAATATTAATCCTATATAGGGGTGCTTAAAGAAGATGTTCAGACAACTAAGAAATCAGGAATGAAAATCCACTGTGGCAATGAATGGATGTACAGTATCAGAGAACTGAGGATTTGTTTTTTGTTTTTTGTTTTTTCCATTAGTGGACATTGAGCCCAGGAGAGCTCTACCACTGAGCTAAATTCCCAGTCTTTTTTTATTTTTGAGACAGGGTCTTACTTAGTTGCCTAAGCTGGCTTTGAACTTTAAATCTCCTTGCCACGACCTCAGGATATTTTTTGTTTATTTGTTTGTTTTTTTCCTATTCTGAATGAACAAAGAGGTATTAGGTTCCAAATTGTGCCCAGTATAGAAAATATTTAATGGCTGATGCCACATACCTTCCTTATAATGTATTTGTAGAGAGTCTTTCACTGAAATAAATAACTTGATAACAAATAGTACAGCACATGTTGGCATCAAAGTAGAGAATTGAGCATCTCTCAGCCAAGGTACTTTTAGGACCTTTGGCTGAGGACAGTGCTGGGAACAAAGGTGAAGCAGTGAGATTCCTTGAGCCCTCCCAATCTCCTCCTCTTATGTGGCACAAAGAAGTTCCTTCATACAGAATATTTTCTCTTGTCTGGTTCTCTTTATTTTATTAACTATTTAGAAGGTGCCTCACCCTCAGAGCAGAGACATAACACAAACAACCTGTCATTTTGCTCACAGACATCAAAGTTCTATTTCTGGTGAGCCCAATATAAAAAAAGTATCCATTCTCCCAGCAGTTGAGCTCAAATATTTGTGTTTGGCAAAAAGCAAGGGAAAATATTTTTAGAGATGACCTCTTCCTTGACTTTCAATTTGTTTTATAAGTAGACTTTTAAGAGTATATAACTATTCTCAGAAAAGCCTGAAACAGATTTTTTGAATGTGGGAAAAGTTTCTCTATGGACCTACAGTTGAGTTAGTGTACAATCCGTACCACTACCACTGCAAAAGGAATGATGATGATGATGATGATGATGATGATGATGATGATGATAATGTTAGTGTCCCTCATGGATGAAATGGTGACTCGAAAGCTGGCCACAGTGATACACACTTGTTATTCCCAGCTACTTGGGAGGCTGAGCTGAGCAGTTTGAGGACAGCCCTCATCTCTTAAAAAAAGAAAAAAAAAAACTGACTCCACAGAAAAACTGTCCTAACAATGTTGATTCAATTAATTTTTGTGTGCTCACAATACATCACTCCATTCTTCTCCCTGAAAAAAAGTTAGGTTTCTCAAAGGGTTTTGGCCTTCTGACCACTTTCTCTGAGAAGAAGCCTTTGACCCCTCAAGTGTATGGAGGGTACCCCTGCTATGAGTGGGCAACACCTCATGGTTCCCCATCACAAACTTTTACAGTATCATATAATCACTATTTATCTATCTCCCATACTAGACGATTAAGTTCTGTGCAAAAGGAACCAAGGCTATTATGTTCATTTTGCATCCTCCATGCTTAATTAGTTCCTCAGACTAAGCAGATATTAGGTAGGATTTCAACACACTGAGATGGGAGGGAAGGGTACTTACAATGGAGGAACTGGCATGAACACATACAAAGGTATAGGCCTAGAAGAGTGCCAAGGAGCATGAGAGTGGTTTGGGTAAAGCCTGATGGAACTAACAGGAGATAAGGTGGTCAAGAGTCTGGGTTATAACCTCATTAATGTTAGTTGAAGGCAGTGGTCACTATAACTTGAGATAGATGCAAATGATGTCATTTCTGGTATAAAAAAAGAAATTTCTGGTGTATTATATATTAGATAAGTATTTTACATATATTTTCATCAAATGCTTAGAGCCACTGGTCTAATTTATACTTTTGTAGAAAATCTTATTTAATTGGTTCCAGTCCCCATGGCCAAACCAATTAGTCAAATAGAATTATTTTCTGTCAGAAAAAGTTTAGCCTTATTTTTTTCAGTTAAAAAATACATATGTATATGAACTGTAAGACCTTTCACTTTCTCTCCTGTGACTTCTAATTCTAATTCTAATTCTGTGACAGGCACAGAGGCTTGCCATGAATTTGTCAAGTGGATGAAATAAGGTACTGTCCTGTCATTGTTTCTCTTTGATCTCAAGAGATTCTCCCTCAGGCATGATGCATTCTCAGATGACTCAAATGATCCCTTTGCTTGGGAACAGAGCACATATACAGTTCAGGATGGCTGGGGGATACCTTTCTGTTGTGAAGGATAAGGGCAATGGCCAAGAGGAGGATGAAAAACCAACCTAGTGCAAGCCATTTTCAAGCAGATCATTTTCCAGAGAGGGAACATTTGGTAATTCAGAATCTGGAAATTGAGCCTTTTTACACTGTCTGTACTATTTAAATTTGCATATCATTATGCTTATATTTTATATAAATTATTGTTATTTTTATTTATGAGATCTAGACCTGAGTTTAAAGACTATGCTTTCATAGAACCTGGATTTTATCTTATAGACCAGTGGTCTCCGGACTGGGATGTGCAGAAAGTGCAGAGAAAAAAATATTACAAATTCTATTTAAACATTATTAGGTTATTCTCTGAAACTTTCTATTTTGATAGATGCTTATACTTTACATAAAGTAGGAACTGAGGATGTAGCTCAGTGGTATATAACTTACCTACCATGTGGCAGGCCTAGGTTCAAGTCCCAGCACCGCATATAAATAAAAATAACAATAATTTATATAAAATGTAAGCATAATTATGCAATTTTAAAATAAATTATATATGCAAATATCTGCATATATAGATGCACCAGTTTATATATAAGAGAGAGAAGTTGTATATTACTAAGCACATGTAGTCAGACAAAATCTGGGCATCACTCATTTTTAGGGACAGTAGAGAAACATTGAAGGCTTCTGAATAAGGCAGTGGAAAGGACATAATTGTTGACTAGAGCTGATGTCAAGGAACAGTGCCAGGCATCAAGGGGGATATATAGAGGTACCACACCTATCTTTATTTTTTTTTAAAGAGAGAGAGACTATTTTTAATATTTTTTATTTTTTAGTTATTGGCGGACACAACATCTTTGTTTGTATGTGGTGCTGAGGATCGAACCCGGGCCACACACATGCCAGGCGAGCATACCGCTTGAGCCACATCCCCAGCACCACACCTATCTTTAAATAGCTGGCAGTCTGATATGTGAAAGAACAAGTAACAATAATGAATAATAAATGGCTCATGGCTAATTAAAGGAAGGAGGATGAGGAAGAAATTTAAGAGAACATAAAAAGTAATTTTAAATTCTGTTTTTAAACATGCACTGCTTGCAAAAAGAATTGAATTGTTAGCAAGACCCTAAATGGGGCTCCAAACCGCCTTACCACAATATTTTCATTTTTAATTCCACACATTCTGTTTGGTTATGGTCTGTCTTCTCCATCTTTAAGCACCAAATTGATGTTTAACTTTTGATTTGGAGGATCATGAACTTCAATTCTTAGAAGATATACTTAAAAATATGAAATCTTGTGATTAAAAAGGATTTACAACACCGGTTCTGGTCTTTCAGAAGACAACTATTATAATAGTTAAAATATCCAGGGAAAAAGGAAGTTGGAGGGACTAACTTGAGTAGCTTCTCTATTTTTAGAAATTCTGTTATGACCAAAATTTCCCAGAGAGGGGATTTTTCTAAAGTTCCCAGAGAACACCATAATAAGACATAATAATACCTTATAGTTCTGTATAATAGATAAAATCTCAAAAGGTTCTCATGATCTTTTCCCTACATTCCCACCAATTATGTCTCCTCTGTGTAATGATAAGAGAGGTGTCTCAGACTCAGTCTGAGGAGGAACTCAGTCCTCCTGACAAATACTAAGTAGGAAAAGGACTCTGAAGCCTCCAACCAGATGCTTACTCAAACCAACCAACCTACCTACCTTTCTTTCTTTCTTGGTATTGGGAATTGAACCCAGGGTTGCTTTACCCCTGAGCTATACTCCTCAGCCCTTCAACTTTCTTTTTTCTTTTGAGACAGGGTCTCACTAAGTTGTCCAAATTAGCCTGAAACTTGTAATCCTCTTGCCTCAGTCTCCTGGGTTGCTGAGATTACAGGAGTGTGCCACTGCTCCTGTCTTACAATAGCTGGGTCATGAGAAAAACCAAAATGGCCAGGTATAGTGATGCATGCCTGCTGAGAGCCATAGCCAAGTAGGAATGACACAAGGCATTTTGGGTTGAAAGGTGACCCTGCTCAGGGATTAGGGTGGCTCTGGGGTTTAGGGTGGATCCTGCTGGGAATAGGGCGGCTCCAGGATTAGGGCGGATCCTGCTGGGATTAGGGCGTATCCTGCTGCCTCAGGCGCCCGCTCCTTTGGAGTTCTCATGGGGTTCTGAGAGGATTGGTGCACTGAGCCGAGTGGAGGCAGGGTGTTCACGGGAAGTGTGGGTAGAGTGTCAGTGAGAGTTCCGGAATAAAGAGTTGCTGTTTGAATCTACAAGGCTTTGTGGTGGCTCGGTTATTTTGTGCCCAGCCAGACTGCGGCACATGCCTGTAATTCTAGCCACTCCAGAAGCTGAGGCAGGAGGATTGCAAGTTCAAAGCCAGCCTTAGCAACTTAGCAAAATCCTAAGCAATTTAGTAAGAGTCTATCTCAGAATAAAAAATAAAAAGGGCTGAAGATATAACTCAGTGGTAAAGCACCTCTGGGTTCAGTCCCCAGCACACACACACACACACACAAAGTATCTTTTCCCCTGTGCTGTCATACCCCAACAACACAGAAGACTTCCATAACCTCAAAAGATGAGGGGATTTCTCCCCCTGAGGAAGTAAGGAGTCAGTTTCACCGTGACATCAGCTGGGTGTCCTCTAATCTAATTTATTTCTGACACTATCTACCTGGAGATAATATCTGATCCTTCATGTTAAAAGTTTAGTCCCAGAGACCCCCCCTTCCCCCAGCCCCACTGTAGATGTTAATCACAAGCCTCATATTGTTTAACCTGGGCTTCTGACTGATCCACTATAAATCAGGATTCCCATAACCTTCTTAGGTTTGATGAATTTGCTTGAATGGCTCACAGAACTCAGAGAAACACAAATTACTGGTTTATTACAAAGGATATTACAAAGGATACAGATGAAGAAATGCATTCCTCCAGGAACCTTCATGTATTTAGCTATCAGGGAGCTCTTGAACCCTGCCTTTTGGGTTTTTATGGAGACTTCTTTGCATAGGCATGGTTAAAGCATGGATAACCGTGTCAAAACATGATTGGTGGGGCTGGGGTTGTAGCTCAGCAGTAGAGCTCTAGCCTAGTGTGTGTGAGGCCCTGGGCTCGATCCTCAGCACCATGTAAATAAATAAACAAACAAACAAACAAATAAAGGTACAATACCTTTGTGGCCAACTACAACTAAAAAATAAGTATTTAAAAAATATGTTTGGACATAAAGGGCATAATCTAATGCTAATAGACTGGGTGGGGAAACCCAGCAAGACATGTCTGCTTCAGCATTTTTCTTACCCTCTCTGTTTAGCATTCCTCTTTCCAGGGCATGGGGCAGGATCCCTCTGGAATGAGGAGGATCTTATAACCTACTGTTGGACAAGGCAAATCAGAGAATTTCTATAGGGATAGCTCCAAGACTGAAAAGTATAGTGGGGAGGGAGATTAGAGTTCTTAGGAAAGAACCCGCCTTGGGAAAGAAATTCTAGTTTCTGTGGTCTGCCTTGGGAGGGATTATGAGCCAAGAAACATGAATGACAATCAAAACAATACATATAATTATATCACAATAACACCATAAGTATTATTTTGCCATTTAACAGAAGAGCAGAACCAAGACTTGGAGAAGATAGTGCCTTTGCCAAATAACACAGTTGCTGACAGAGCTAGAATTCAATCCAGGCCTGTCTTGGAGCCTGTTTTAATGCCTAGGCAGTAACTGGTAATTTTTGATAGGACAGTTTCAGTAGCTTGGTAGAGACAGAAGACAAATTACAAGGGGATAGTTCACTTATTATTATTATTATTATTTTGTAGTTGTAGATGAACAGAATGCCTTTATTTTATTTGTTTATTTTTATGTGGTGCTGAGGTTTAAACCCTGTGCCTCACACATGCTAAGCAAGCGCTCTGCTGCTGAGCTACAGCCCCAGCCCCAGTCCACTTATTTATCAAGTATTTATTGAGGAGGGTGAAACTTCCAACTGTGGAACACTGAGGAGGTGGATATCTTCCTGAAAAAGCAACTACCAAGCTGGAAAAAAGTGGACAAACAACCATTTCTAGCACTGTGAAAATGAATCAAAGACATATAATAATCTGAAGTATATTTATGCCTGAATAATTGCTGAACATCATAATAATAGTGGGAATCTGTGGCATCCTTGCCTGGGGATGATCCCATTCCCAGCCTTCCCTTTAGCATAGAGATTTTTCCTAGAGGTTGCGGGGCAGGGCAGGGATATTGTGAGGATCAGCTTTTCAGCTACTATCCAAGAGGACTTCGCTGATTTGGAGTAGGGGAAGGCTATTGTTCTAACTCCAGTTGTGGCTGGAAAAGCATATTCCTAGGTGTGGTTATGTACATGCACAGTGGAGACCAGAGAATGTGAGATTTCCACATACTTTCGGCTGACTCTGGGGCTGCCGCCATAAAGCAGATGGGAAAGGGTCCAACAGAAAGTAATAATATGCCCAGACAGAACTGAAGATGGCCTGAACTTTGAACTGTGTTCCCCATCCCACACAAAAAAATCATAATCATGGAATGAAAGCCCTATTGGCTTGAGGTATTTGTGTTAGTCTATTTTCTGTCACTGTGACAAAATACTTGAGAGAAATCAAAGGACGAAATTAAAGAAGGAAGGATTTATTTTGGCTCATGGTTGCAGGCATGGTCACTTGGCTCTGTTGTTTCTGGATCTGTGATAAGGCACAGCATAAAGTTGGGAGCATGCGTTGAAGCAAAACTGCTTACCTCTTGGCAGCTAGAAGCAGAAATAAAGGATCTAGGAACAAAATACACCCTTCAAGGGATCCTGCCCCATGCCCTGGAAAGAGGAATGCTACACAGAGAAGCCAAGAAAAA